GCAGGTGCCTTCCCTTTTAGCTTCCGTTCATAATCTGCCACCACCTGAGGAGCTGTTTCCATCAGTTCCTCCCGAGTAAACCACCGATCTTCTTTCGGATCTGTATGATGCCTGAATCTGATCCGGTACTCCCTCTTGGGTTTAGGAGGTCTTCCTCGACCCAGCGGCTTCGGAACAGGCATATCCCTGTGATCCACAATATCGTCGATGTCGACTTGTCCATCCATGGTTGGGGGCAGCATCGATCTCCTGGAAGGGAATTGATCAGTCTCAGCGAAAGGTGCAAGCTTTGAGGCATGAAAGACTGGGTGAGTTTGCGAGGGACACGAATGACATATGTGGGACCATCCAACTCATCTCCCACTACATCCAAGACTTCCCAGGGACCAAAGTACTGAGGCATTAGTTTGCGAGATATCCCGAATTCCTGTCCTAACTCACTAGCCTTGACCCAGACACGTTCCCCTACGTGAAATGTGGACTGTCTGCGATGTTGATTCTCAGAAGCTATCATGGCTTGCTGAGCCTTCTTCATATGTTCTACACTCTCTTGCAACAACTTCTCATATTGCACACCGTATTCAAGTGTGCCTGGAGTTGCAGCAGGTCGGTTTTCAGGTAGGAGGAAGTCTAGTGCTAATCTAGGCTTCCATCCTAAGTGCAGCTGGTTAGGATTAACGTCGGTACTGCTATGTATAGCATGGTTGTATAGGCTGGCGATGAGAGGTAACTGCTCATCCCAGTCATCCTGGTTGGGTTTGATGTAATGCCTCAGCAAGTGTTGTACAACTCTATTCATTTGTTCAGCCTGTCCGTTGGCTTCGGGATGATTCCCTGAAGTCATCTGAAATTGACTGCCCATCTGTTCTGCAGTCTTCTTCCACAGCTCACTTGTGAATCGGACGTCTCGGTCACTAATGATGGTCTTTGGTAAACCAAAGTCCCTTACCCAGTTGTCCTTGAACAACTTGATGACGTATTCGGTCCTGGCTGTCTTTGGCATTGGTATTAGTCTAGCATACTTGGTGAATCGGTCAATGATGACGAAAATGTGCCTCTTACCACTCTTGCTGGTCACAAGAGTGTCCATGGAATCCATGGAAACACTCAATCCTGGACCATCAGGAATAGGTAAAGGCTTCAATAACCCAAGCGGTGCTCGAGTTCGCGGCTTATCCCGCTGACAGACCTGACGTTTCTCAACATACTTCTTTGCGTCATCTAACATTCTGGGCCACCAAAATCGCTGTACTAAGTTAGCACTCGTCTTCTTGTAGCCAAAATGCCCAGTTGCGTCATTACGTTCGCCTAAAAATAAACTACGCAACTGTTCACTATATGGAACTACCAATATCTTTACTCCGGCCTTATCAAGATAGATTAGCCCATCCACCATCACAAACTCACTTTCTGTGGCCTTGTCTTTTGCCTGAAGTTTGCGGATGATGTCCATCGTGACAGG